TGTGTTGCTCGGATGGCCCACAAGGCACTTCCTCTTTACAACCGCCTGGGGGGTGTCAAGGAAAAAGGCACACAAAGGGCTCCCCACCATTTCCTGCTTGTTATTTCCCCTAGACAATCTTCCACCACTTACATGGCATGACACACCTTCTTCAGGACAGCAGAAAAGAGCCAGAGTCCAGTGGCACCTCAAAGACTAACAACATTTGTGGCAGTGTAGGAGCTTTCATGAGTCGCTGCTCACTTCTTCAGATACTGTGACTGACAAAAGCTCATACCTTGCCCCAAACCTTGTTAGTCTTTAAGGTGCCCTAGGACTCTTGCTCTTTTCTACTACTACGGACAGACTAACATGGCTACCCATGCTGATCGATCTACTTTAGGACAGGCTCCGTTTCCCCAGTTCTGTTTTCCTTCCACAGGACATACCCTCACATTCATCTTTCCTTCCACACCCTCAGTTCGTAACTCTGGCCCCTTTGCAAGACACAGGTCAAGGAGGAAGCCCCAGACTGGAGGGAAACACCTGCCCTGACTGATCCACCCTCTCCAAAGGGAGCATCGCTTGGCACCAGCTTCTTTGCACGTCCTCTCGTTTGGTGCTCCATTCACCCCAAGGAGGAACCGGGACTCCAGCCAGGTCTATCTACAGGATCACAGAGCTTGGGCATCATCACTCCCCACAGTATGGAGGGGCGAGTCAAGGGAAAACGAACTCCTTACCCAGAGAGGCCACGTTCCCAAAGGTCTCCAGCATGACTTTCTTGTAGAAAACTCTCTGGGCTGGGCGCAGCAGGGTCCACTCCCCCTGGGTGAAATACACGGCCACCTCTTCAAAGGACACCCCAGCCTGCAAGGAGGAGGAAGCATTTCTTAATAGCAGTGGAAAACTGGTCCATGGGGGAAAAAACCCAAACAGCAAAATGATTCTTGAAGAGTGGCACAAAGACGAGGGGAATCAGAGCCCTTACACTTTCCCTTCCCAGCTCTCCTTAGGGCATCTTATTTATCATTTATTTTTTGTATTTATATCTCGCCCATCCCACGAGCGGGCTTAGGGCAGGTAACATCATGTTACAATCAATACAATAAAAAATTAAATCAGTGGTTACAGGCAGAGGGGCAGCCGTCACTCCCAGGGATCCCAGCCTGCCACTTGCTCTGGCTTCCTCTTACTGAGGTCATCAGAACATCAGAAGAGCCCTGCTGGATCAGACCAGTGGTCCATCTAGTCCCGCCTCCTGTCTGACACAGTGACCAACCAGTCCCTCTGGAGGGCCAACAACAGGGCAGAGAGGGCCAACAACAGGGCAGAGAGGCCGAGGCCTTC